AGAGCACATGCAGGCTCTGCCCTGATTCATCTCCCTCTGTCCATGCTGGCCTAGACCTGCTTCTGGCTAGAAAAGTGGGGAGCAGAGACCTGACTCATCTCCCTTTAGTATCTAGCCCTTCTCCCAACATGTCCAGGGGCTCTCCCTGAAGATGTCCTCTGCCAGTATAGTCCAAGGCCAGAAGTCTTAGCCCTTGTCAGCTCCACAGTGACAGAGGAAGCTCAAATCTTAGCAGCCACTCCATGCTACATCAGCACACCTGCCACAGGAGGAACATGGCTGTGGAAACAGAGTTTGCCTGTATTGACCTAGCCAACGTTCCTCACATGGCAGAAAGCAGCAGGAAGGTGGAGTTGCTTCAATGGCAGCAGTTCCTCATCTCTTAGAGCCTTCAGCTCCACAAAGAAGCTGTCAGCAGGGGGGACAGAGGGGATCAGAGCAGAGCTCCATATACTTTTAGTGTATAGTGTATAGATATTTCTTTTGCAGCACCTTCCCCAGCCAGTCCCAGGGGTACAGAGACAACGAACCTGTACTCCTCCATCTAGGATGCATTATATCTGTGGTAGGCTGCCCCTACCAGAGCCTCTCTCTCCATCTGAACAGTTTGCCCTCCCATCAAATAGGGAAGCCTGTACTAATCCCCACCAGCCTTTTTTGTGGCTGTGTATAGGCCAGTCCTTACTAGCCATCCAGGCACCACTGCCCAAACCCGATGGGATTCAGGAACTGCGCCCTCCCTCTTGAAATACGAGGGAGTGGAGTAGGAGGACAGCAGGCAGGCATTGTTTATGGGGCTGTGCGCCATGTTCAGCAACACTTGGGTCAGGGTGTCCAGAGCGACCTGGGCTTGGCCATGCTGTGCTCCACAGCAGGGCACAGGGGTTGTGGTGTATAGTGCAGCCCTTGCTGTGCTCAGCTCACCAAGAGAAGTTGGTGCTACAGTCCAGGAAGAGTTCTGAAGGGTTTGGGCTACTGTGATCTGGTGAAAGACGGTGAGCTTGGTGCGTCTGCAAACCTGGCATCCCCAAGCCAGGCTAGGGTCAGTTTCTAGTCCTGTTTTGGGGTGATCAGGCCTTTAAAGTGACACCAGAGCTCAGCCCAGCAACGTGCTTTTCACCTCAGTCCCTTACCAGGGTTGTGGACTCTGATTTCTGTTCCACCTTGGAGAGAGGGTCTGCTTGTTTGTTACTGCTTCGGCTTCTCATTTGTCATCTGTTATGGAACCACATACACACTATAACACTGCCAAAATGACAGGCTGACATACATCATTAGAAACCCCAGGGGATCGTTGCATTGTTTTGAAATTGTTTAACAAAGTTCAAAGTTTATTCAGTTTAATGAACCTCACAGAGAGGGTAAAAACCTTTTTACCTTCCAGTGGGGCAGTGGGCACAAGGTATACTCCAAAATCAGCTTAGGAAACCAACTTTTGAGAAGACTCATCTTTTGGTTTTTAAGTATGCATGGATCTGAGAGTGACTGGAGAAAATAAGGTAGCAAGAAGACTTGGGAAGGTCACCCCAAATGAAATAAAGATGTGAATTCAAGGTGGATTAGTCAAACCCCTTTTGTGGACACACTCATTCAGAATGAAAATGGCTCTACCTAGTTTAGCCTACTCCCATTATAACTTGTACCTGGTTCAGATAAATTTTGCTGAGCGTCCACATGTGGACAGCCCCTCAGAAATGACCAGTTAACTGCACATGGCAGTATCTGATCATCTGCAAGGACCTTGGACTAACTCATGGCAAAGCAGGACTAGCTTGCAGTATTTCTGATTACTGAAGATATCATTTGGTCGATTTTTTTTCAAATGCATTGGAGATAGAGCAAGTGTCCCTGTAAGATGAGAAAACTGAAACAGCTATCTTAGTAATTTGCCCAGGAACAGAGAAGAAATCAGTGCTGGGATACAGAACTGCTAGCCTATTCTTATCCGTATTTCTCTTACGGAAAAACTGTTTCTCGGGGAAGAGAGAAACCAAGAGATTGTGGTTTGATTCATCAGGCCAGGGATTCATGTTAGACAGAACTGGATGTTTCTAGGAATCCTTCAGAAACCAGCAGCATGTGAAGCTGTTCTAACGTGCAGTGTGAGACCTGCCTGCTGCTGCCCTGGGAGCACATCAGCCCTAGTACCTTAAGGGAGAACGAGCTCCTTAACTATTTTTTCCCCCACTGAATCTGTGCAGTGTGCATCCAGAGTCTTCTCCTTTTGTGCATGTGCAGAGCCTCTGCTTTGCATCAACTTCATTTCTGTCTCCCCGCCGTTGCCTACCCTGTGGGCTTTCCATGACCTGCCTGGTTCCCTCCCTCCATACAGCTCTTGACTATCACTCAGCATGGCTTCTCTTGTACGAAGTAGCTCTGGGGGAGTTGCCAGTGCAGTCACTCCAGTTCTTCATGCATCTGCCTCCCTTCCCCCTCCCCTGCACTGCAGGTTGTTCCAGCTGTCCTAGTGACACAGTGCCAAGGCTGTACAAGAGGCTACCTGCCCATTGGCTAGCTGATATGGCCCCAGACAGTTTAACCACTCCTCCTGGAGCTGAATCACGGAGAAAGGAAGATCCTAGTCTCGGGTTTTTGCGGTCTTTGTGTATTTTTTTTCCCAATTTGGAACAAACTCCAAAATAGCCTGTTGCTTATCTCACCCTTTGAAAGGTGGCAGCTGCTTACTGATAGCAGCAGGGACTTTCTGTGCTGTCCAGAAACCAAAATAAAGTTCCCACTGAGTATTTTCACATTTCTTGTCCAATTAGAAACCTGCTTTCACACAGTGAAAGTATGAGCTCACAGGTTTGGAATGGATCCAATTTGAGGCTTGCCTTTTTTTTGTTGCTTCTTTTTAAACCAACATTATTGGAAAGTGTAGTCAGATCTCACAGGATGAGTTGCAAGGGATCCATCGGGCAAAACTCTACCACCTGACACCTTTAATTTATCCAGATAGTTAGTGGTTATATTTGGATGGGACCTTGTTTTAATTGCACCCTTTTTATTTAAAATACTGCTTGCTCAGTTACCCTTTGAAGCAGAGAACTGTCAGGACAGATTTTCAGTGGTGTGTCATGTGGCATAAGTGAGTTCAGGGCAATAAAAACCTCATCATCATTTAAAAATCATCATCCCCTGGCAAGCAGGTACTAAAATGTTCATGCCCAGGTGTGGACACTTTTGCTTGGAGCTGAAAGTACGTGTCGGGACAGAAAGCAGGACATGCTGTCTTTGGAGCAGCACCGTGCGCCTCTGTGTACCATGAAGGTATGTCTTTTGACACATTGCAAATCTTGTTGCTTTTAGCTGCCATTCTTCTGTTGAAAGCAGCCAGTTAGCAGAAGAAATGTACTTGGATGACAATGAAGTGAAAAGAACTATGTGAACAAGTTATGATAAGGGTACAGTGAAAAATGAGATACCTGTCAAGAGGTGCATGTGGAAAGGTAGATTTACCGCTTGCTTCACAGTGTGCTTAAAGATCTGTCAGCATCAGTTTGGAAGGGCTGATTCAGCCCGACTGGGCAAGGCATTCAGTGCTGATAAAATGTCTGATAACATCCCTGCTATTATGTGTTCGGTGTTGGGCTTACATTTTGCAGGTATTAGTTTAAAAATACATCGGCATCTTAAAAATGACACTGTTTCTTTCCATGTCCCGCTGCAAGGTTGCTGTGCACTGTTACCCCAGTTAAACAGACCTCAGAAGGAATGGGAAACAAATATATAACACATGCACTCTAGAAATCCCAAATTTGTTTAGAAAACGTGATGGCATTGTTGTTTGAAGTTCTTTATCGCAGAACTTGCCAGGACTGGACACCTGAATTGCACCCACTAAAAGAGAGGGTAATGTCCATCCTTGGTGTCATGGGATGTTATTCCTACCTGGGCTGGGTTGGTCAGTCCTCCATTACTGAAAACATCTCATCCTACAGTTCCTCTCAATTTCAACCTGTTTAATTTGGAGGGGACCATGCACATTTGAACGGGGGTGGGGGAACGGGACATTTTATGCTCAGCAGGTAAAAGGCATGCCAGCTGTCAGGATCTGCTCAGAGGTTAGGAATGTTAAATAGCCCAAACAGAGCTGGTTGTGAGCAGGTGAAACACTTACAGGTGCCCGGTGAATGCAGATTATCACGTGGCCGCATTACACAGGTGGCTGTATGTGTGGTGTCACTCTCTCACATGTGGTGTGTGTGTGCATAGCACTGGCCTCTCTTTACAGAGGTTTTATCTTTTCTGTTTTGATGTCATTTGCTGTGGTAATCGTGCCTAATCTAAACTGTCCCACTTTTTTCCTCAAAAACCTGCCTTCCAATCCTGTACTTTATCACAAAACCAACTTTTCATCTCCTCAAATATGATAGACCAAAAAACCCTCCAATCTCTTTAATTCTTTGAACTCATAGATGTTAAAATAAAGAGTAAAAAGAAGACAAACTAAACTTAATACCCAAAAGTAAATAGGAAATCTCTCTGTACTGACAAATGTTGAGTTGTGGTATGGGCTCAAGTCAGTCTGCACAAGCTGTGGCTGGCTGGCTGATGTAATGGGGCAAGCAGCCTTTGTGGCCAGGCAAGTGGGGTGAAGTTATTGGTGACTGTGGAATAAACCAGCAGCCCTAGCCAGCATTCCTGGCCCTGGGAGGCACTGTGCCAGCTTCCTTGCTCTAATCTGTGTTATGCCCAAATTCTTTAATTTGCAGATTTGAAGAGTGTCCTTATGTTTCCTGTAGATTGAAGTATGTACTGAAGTTATCCAAATCCGTTTTTTGCTGTAACAGAACAGGATTCAAGCTTCTTGGCAGCTGCTGTATTATGGAGACTGTGGGGATAGGGATAAAGACATAATCACGCTATTTTCATGAACATGCAAGTCCCTTGGGTGTAATAATAAATTCTTGGAAAAGTTAGATTTGAAATGTATTGACATGTATGTATGTATGTATGTATGTAACATATTGACTGTTTTCCCTCTAATCTTTATGCTGCGAGTAGCACTTTTTGTAGGTTTAGTTCTGAACTGTGCTTTGGTTGCTGGCAGGTTTTTATTAAGAATCTTTTTGAATCCGGGATCTGGAGGGGGAAGTAGGATAACAAATGGCTATATTAAATAGCTGGTCGGCCATCACATAGTTTGATTTCCTAGTGCTGACACATGGAGTCTGTTTTTTTTTGGTTTGGGTTGGGTTTTTTTGCCCTTAGCTGCATCCCACACTCTGTCTTAATTGCAGAGATGCTTTGGAAGTTTTGGGAATGAACAGCATCAGTTAGTGATGTCCTTTTTCAACGCAACTGGATGGCCAAGTTGATTGCTGCTGTTTCACAGTCTGACATGCCACCTCTTTTGTAGTTCATAGCTGAAACAATCATCAAAGAATGGACAAGTAAAGCGCTGCTCTGTAGTAAATATTCATTCTCTTATTTTTTTTCAATGAAAACAAAATGCACATTAAAGAAAGCTCAGGTCTAGGAACTAAGATTGTCAGCCAGTCGCTTGGAAAACATCAAGTAACTCTGCAAGAAAAATATAGGATTTGTACTTTGTCTTGTGTCTATTTAAACATTAGCTGTTCAAATGAAGGCTAATAGTTGAGGATTGTTTCCTGTACATTTATTTCTATGGAACCAGAGAAGAATTGGACTTAAAACAAGATGAGTCTTGGTTTTAGTTTTTCCCTCCAGATTTTTCAGTGGTTTGTTAGCATTGTTGGTACAAATGGTGAGAGCCTAACTGAAAAAGGTCACTGACATTTTTGCCATGTTCTTTAAGATTGGTTTTGAATAAGGTTAGATAACGTGGTGGTGAAACGCCAACAGCAGCAGTAGCCGGGTCTGCGCTCGGGTACCCACCAAAGCTACCACTTGTAGCTGAACAAACAGGAGGATCCTTTAATCTAGACAGTGCCTAATTTACTATATCTAGACACTTGGACTAGTCTCTTAAGTAAACTGAAGTACAGAGAGGCTAACAAACTGTATAAATATTTAACCAGTTTTGAGGGGGTGTTGAAACCTCATTGCTTGTAAAAGCACTTGGAGATCCTTGGATGAAGAAGCTGTGTGGAGACATATTTGACAATGTTAAAATGACTTTATAGAATTAGCACTGAGCAGTTACCTGAAGCACTGTTAATAAAATAAGAGGTTTTTTTCTTCACCCTAAAAAGAATCCTTATGCTTCAAATCTTTGTCCCTGAAGTAAGGATCACGTGCGGTCCACTCACCCCTAGAAAGCTAAAGAAATGAGCCTGTAGGCACATGATTAATGTGCTTTTGTCATAAATAACAGAACATGGTAATTTTGTGAATTGGACTGAACCATTCACAGAGGTAAAGGTTAAAAAAACCAAACTCCATCCAGGTGACCTTTCCACATAATGAGGCAATACTAGACAAGACCGTCACATTCTCTGTCTGCCTGAGAGATCGGTCATCTAATTACTGTATCATTTTCTTGCCTGTTGCTGATTCAAGTGGAACTGAAAATACCTGTTGTTTGGTGCTTGGCGGGAGCTCAGCTTGGTGGTTTAACGCACACGAGGTGGAGGAAGGTGATACGAATTATCTTCCTAACTCTCTGTCCTTGATTTCCTATGTGTTACTGTGGACGAGGTCTTTAGCACCTCTGTGCTCATGTCCCCCAAATTATCTACCTTTTCCTATCTCACAGGTAGGGCTTATTACCTCTCCCACAGTGAGGAGGCCTAGTTTACTGAGATTGAGCAGAAGGGCTAGGGACACGCAAAGCATTTTAATGCTGCTGGTCATGCTGATTTGAAAAACACCTCGACCATTCACCTTGAGATTGTTGATGTAGTTCTGCTGGCCCATTCTCATTAACATACCCCCTCCTTTGACATTTCTCATTTCTAGATGTGAACGACTTGAAGAGCAGCTGAATGATTTGACAGAGCTCCACCAGAACGAGATCCTCAATCTAAAGCAGGAGCTGGCCAGCATGGAGGAGAAAATTGCCTATCAGTCTTATGAGCGAGCCCGAGACATCCAGGTTGGTGAAAAAAGCGAGTAGGTCACCTCCTTGTCAAAGGACAGGATGGCAATAGCAGTTCCCCCTGCCTCTGAAATGTTTTCTTGAGTCCATGTTTGTATATTAGCCCTTGCTTTTCCGGAATAGTTGTGTAGACCTTCCAAGTGGTCTTGATCTGTCATTAGTTCTTACAGTTGTTTCTCTAGTTCAGTCCTGAGGCAAGGGAAGCCAGTGTGTGTTTGCTAGCTATACCGGCAAAGCTGTCTATGTCTGTTCAGAGGAGCCTGTCAGCTGTCCCACAGTGGGATTTGTTTTTGCAGGGTAAAATCAAGTGGGAGCATTTTTCCATCTTTGGTAGTGGCTATATCATAGGCTTTTGTGCAAGCGTTGGGAACTATTAGACTGGGACATAAGCATATGAGGCTTTTACGGCAGTATTTCCAGGAGACTGATTGCAGGATTTGTGTGTGTCTCACTCATTTTAGAGCAATTGACAGAAATGTTTTGATGGAAAAACAGTAGCTGGCTTTGTGCATCCTCTGTGTCCAGGCAGGAAACAATCCATTCTGCTGTTTGTGCCCAAATAAAGAGCTATTTTTAAGAGAAAAGTTGCCCTCGGTATGCAAAGTATCTAAAATCCAATAGGCTTTGAAAGCAGGGATTTGAAGAGTTGGAGGGGTTTTTACAGAGACAGATCTGTAAAAATACCTGGGATTTGACTAAACCTTATGAAGGCCCAGTTAGGAACAGACCCATAATCTATTTTAAATCCTTGTTGTGTTAGTTTAAGCAGGCTTCTCTGTTCTGCTGAGATGACTTGCAGTATTTATAGCGCGCGCTGAGAATTTTAGGTCAGAGAGCTTTCTCTTTGCCTTCTCACTGAAGAGTTTTTTGCCAGGTGCTTTCCTTTTGGTTATGCCTCTAGACTGGGCTGTGGGGCTGGCCAGGCTATCGTCCTTTCAGGTTTCCTGCTAATTGGTTTTGCCTAAAGCTGTCAAGTATTGTTCTTTATGGGAAAGTCCCCAAGCTCTCTTGACCTCCACAGCCTGATTGGAGTTTTCTGTAGCGGCAGGTAAATGCAAGATGTACCAATGACCTTTATTATGTTAGATAAATGTTTGAGGGCGGCAGTGTCATGGCCCTTGCTAGGATATGCATCAGGCTGCCACTTTTTGAGTGTACTGCAGTGCCTGTATTGCACACACCTTTTAGTTGAACCAGGGCTGAAAGGTTAAACTGAGGTTGGGATTGATCAGTAACCTTTTTTCAGCTTCCATTTTTGGAGCATTTCTCATGCTCCAGTCAAATCGATCCTGCAGTGCCACTCTGGGAGTTTCCCTGCATAGCAGAGAGCTGTGGTTAACTTGGATAAATGGGAAGTGGCATTTCTAATTCACGTTCTAGAGAATAGGGATCAAACAATAAAGTTGTAATCAGAATCCATTTTTCCAGGTGGCTGCACTAGTGGCTGCTCTCTGGTCTGCCCAGCAAGGCAAGGTACTTGACCTCAAATTTCATTTTGGCCTAAATGAGGGGTTCTTCCACTGTCCTGAGAGAGGAAAAGGCCCTCAGTTGTTGAAGGCCCCAGGCCCTCAGTAAGTTCTCCTTTCAGGGTCAGACACCTAGGTGTCAAACTATTCCCAACTTGAGAAGAGGAATGATGCACTCTAATGTGACCAGTACAGGATACAGCGAAGCAGGCCATCCTCGTGACACCCCCAACATGCATTTCTTTTCCATAGTTGGACAGAAGACTGACATTGCCCTGACCCCTCGCACATCCCTCTCATTAGCACCAATGGAAATCAAGAATTGAGAGTTGTTGCATACTTTGTTGCAACCTACAGTTCCCAGTAAGTGAAAGATTCAAGACTCCGTGGGAACTGGCCTGGGCTCCTTTCCTACTGCCGCAGGATATGAAATCTGTCTGGGTGACTCACATCCTGCAGCAGGTGTACAAGGCCTGAGGAATGCAGCCACATGATGACTTGTAGTCTCAAAACACTGCTGAGGTGTAATAGCCTGCCCTGCGAGTACTGAAAACATGACTGTTCCCTTCTTCCCAACAGGAGGCCCTCGAAGCCTGTCAGACCAGGATTTCCAAGATGGAGCTTCAGCAGCAACAGCAGCAAGTGGTGCAGTTAGAGGGGCTGGAGAACGCCACTGCCAGGAACCTGCTGGGTAAATTCATCAACATCCTCCTGGCTGTCATGGCTGTTCTCCTAGTCTTCGTCTCCACCGTGGCCAACTGCGTTGTCCCCCTCATGAAAACTCGCAATAGGACGTTCAGCACTTTATTTATAGTGGTTTTCATTGCTCTTCTGTGGAAGCACTGGGATGGCATCACTAGCTACTTGGAACGGTTCTTGCTGCCTCCCAGATGATGGCACGAGGCATTGGCTGCATTGCCCCACACATCCCAGCACTTGCTGGTGGATGAGCGTCGCAAAGATTAGTCAGCACCGACGCTGCTGAAGTTTTAAAGTGTCCGAGTGAATTTGTTTACATTTAGAATAACGTTTTTCTCTGCGAGACGCATTGCAATAGTATTTTTTAGATTTTATTCAAGAACTCTTTTTGGCGAGAATCCTGGATAATTTTTATGTAGCATGGTTCTCTTTGGATGCAAATCTTCAGATTCTTTAGCGTACAAAAGAATACAGTGAAAATACACAAATGTGGAGCACACCAATGGGCAATTTAAATTATGGTTTGAACTACTGTACTAAACTTGGTTAGGAAGAGGAGAACACGGTTAGCTTAAATAGCCAAGATTAATCTAGTGCACAGCCTTGTGTGATGGTACCACAGCGAACCTGCAATGCTAATCTTTACTGTGAAGCCTGCTCACATTCCATGTCCGAATGTATGGGTTCAGGGTGTTTTTTTCCTTAAGGAGGGGGAAGAAAAACCAAACACATGGATCCCTCCCCCTAGCTCAGCTCCTGGGTCGGCCATTTGTGCTAATATGACGTACAATAATTTTCTGTGAGGCCGGTTACCTTTTGCTAAGTATACGAAGTGGAAGCGTTATGCCGTACACAGTAACTGCACAGTTGTACTACAGTATTTTGAAGTAGCCCTTTAAATACTTATCTTTAAGCAGGAGCCCTTGGTCGCACTTTTAAGGTTTTTTTATATATGTATATTCACAGATTTAAAAAAATTCGAACAGCATACTTGAAGAGTGTAATACTCAAACTCTCAGTGCTTCCTTATTGTTTCTAATAGGATTTTTTATTATAATTATTATTATTATAATTATTATTATTATTATTGGGGGTTTTTTTGGAAGGGGTTGGGGGGGTCGTTTTTTCCTTTTAAATAAAGAAGTGATGTTTTTAAATGAAGAAATGCGTGAATAATTGTGAGCCGTCTTGTCCTGAAACAGTTTTGAAGAGGGCAGGAAGGAGTTTCTAGTGAGAGCCTGTCTGCTGGAATGCAGTGCTGTTGACATGCCATTTCTCTGTCCTCCCGTGCTTGCGGATGCAGCATCATGATCAACATCCGCCTTTCCCACACATTTTTTTGTTACACGCTTCTCTCTCCTTTCTCCTCTCTGGTGGGTGTGGAAGAGAAAAGGTGTCAGGTTTCTCTTTCCCAAATCTGTCACTCTTGGCCTCACAGTAGTTAAAGTACAAGCAAACAATTTCTTTTCATCCCATTTGGGAAAAGACAGGGTTTTTTTAATGGAAAGAAATAAGAAAAAAAAAAAAGTTCATTCAGAAGAGTGATTCTGTCATAAATATCCCTGAAGATTTATTTTTAAATAAATCCCTGATAACTGAAACCAAAGTTGTTCCACCCCCCCACCCTTTCCATCCACCATCTCTCTAAGATCATCTGTCTTTGTTTAGAGGACACCTTTTTATGCTGTGTGTATCCATTGAGCATGGCACAGAGAGACTCCCCTTTTTCTCTAGTTGGGAAGGCAAGTACTTAAGACAGATGCTGTGTCAGAGCACTAGAAGAAATGTCAGTGACGGATGCAACTCCTGTCTCCGCACTATGTTTTGCAGTTGCTCGTTGTTACAGGCAGGGCTTCATATCTAAGGACTCTGGCTTCGCTCTGCTTTTCCTTCTGGCTGAGCATCTGCTTCTACTATAATAAGTCCTGTTCTTAGTTCCATCCCAGGGAAATCAAAAAATGGATAATCCAGTAGATTCTTTCACACCATTTGCAGTATTTGGTCAGGCTCCTTGTTTTCCTTTTTACTTGGCCTAAGTTCCACGTAGGAACTAAACAACGCTCAAGTGACCTAGAGTGCTACGTAATAGGAAGTGTAGGGATTTGTGCTATTGTGTAAACACCAGGCCCAGGGAAATTCCCCAGAACTAGGCTGGCACCTCCTTCTCAGCCGGGAAGAAGGTCTTACTCTTCTAGTTGCTGAAGAAAGACCTCCAGTTTCCAAGCTGTCATCTTCCTCCTTCAGAGATTCAACATATCATTTCCCTAGCTGCAGCTGTCTTTAAACTCAGGTATCCCACGATTATTCCAGCCACCTCACTATGCCATTGTGGACTAATCCGTTCCTGTCCTTGTTAAAAAATAAATTGCCAATTGCAGCTGACTTGAGCCAAAAATAAGCATTATTATTTCCACAGAGCTGAAAATGGAGCATGGATTATATAACATTGCCCTCTTAGATCGCAATCACCAGCTAAGGTTAACCCATTGGCGTCACCATCCTTATCTGGTTGGTAAAAAAGAGATCTAATCTGTTTTCATTCATTCACGTGATTGATTCTCCTTTCCTGTTGGGTTTCCTCAGAAACAGAAGTAGGAAAATCACAGTAATAAACTGCTGGTATGTCGCCTAAGAGCTCTCTTACCTCTGTTTCTGCAAAGCAGTCTTAGCATCTCTATAGTTTTGGTTGCACAGGGCGTATCTATGCAAGGTGCTACTGTAGAGTCATTACCATGCATTTATTTAGTACTTGTATTAGCAAGTACTAAATAAATGCACAATAACCAGAGTTACTGCAGAGTAGCACCTGCGAACATCTTTTAAGTGATGCACAGTAGTGCAGCAGCCTAATAATACTGTGCAGTAGTGTATTAGCACTATCTGTACTGTGATGCACTACTGTACAGTATTTTTTCAGCTACTTGTGTAGATGCGCCCACTGTAACAGTTTGCAGTAGGTTTAGTACATGATCAAAGCTGTTGGCATGAGTTGAAAGCCAACAGATTTTTACACTCAACTCCATATTTTAATAATATTTGAAGGAAGTATTTGTCCCCTTTTTATCTCCTGTGTATCCTAATTTGATTTCTGCACTTTGACTGTGTTAATCTTCTTTAGAAAACAATACCTGCATTTCCCAGAAGGAATGGGCTTCATAGAAACTCTTCACCTTAAAACTGTTTTGTGAAGGCCAGTTATTTGGCCCTGGACAATGTCTGTCTGTCTGTGTGTCTCTCTCTCTCTCGACAGTTTTCCATTCCAAAAAGTTGTCTGCAGTTAATGCCATTTATGATGCTGCATCCACTTTTAATATCCTAACGCAACTACCATATGTGAGTTGCCTTTTTCTTTAGCCAAATGGTTATTTCCACGCACACTCCCTTCAATCTGAAGGTCTGTGATGAACCTCTAATACTTTTAACAATGATTTACACTGTTGGAAATGTGATGCGAGCTTCAGAGCTCCCTTTTCTTGTAAGTGGTTGTGCTCGTTCTCTTTAAGATGAAGCATTCCTGGATGACTTGTAGAAGACAAGTATCTGCCATGAGTGTGCATGTGCGTGAGCCTTTTCTGATGTCTGGTAGATTGTGTGACTGCCTCTGAGTTGCAGAATGTTTCCTGGAACATTTCCAGTTTGGAATTGGAGCAATTCTGGAATGCTTGCATATTGTTAAGCACATATCAGCGGGGCATATAAAGAAGGGAAGCATGTCATGTACCAATTTTTGGTCAAAGAGGAGAAGACCTTTCAGTGAATTCCATGGTTCACATGAAGTTCATCTCTTTTCCCAGTCTCCTCTCAATTAAGAAGTTGGGGAGGGAGACTTAAAGCAGAAAAGTTATAATTTTTAGACAAGTTCATCAAATTCACCTTCCCCTCAGTCTCATTAGTTTAATGATGCTGAGCATGCTCACGGCAATTACTTTATTGGTTTTTTTTTTCCCCAATCTAGTGAGTATACTTGGTCTGATCAAATTAAATATTGAGTTCTGTACATGTTGCACAAGGCCAGAAGAGACACTGTCTTTCAGCTTTGGGAAAATGTTCATTTTCTTTTAAACAAAAAAGCAGCAGTATAACAAAAAAAGAAGCCAAGCTACAAAGGGGTCTTTTTGAGATTGGACGGCTTTGCCAGTTTTAAGTGAATTCTGAATGCGGCTACAAGTTGAAAACCCTGTGTGTCTGTGTTTGTGTATGCCAGGTGGAATCGTTGTAGGCAATTGACTTAGCTGTAAGTGTGGTTTTTAAAAGTGTAAGAAAAAAAATAAACAGCAAAACTCACTTGCACGGGTTGAAAAGTACAGAAATGACACTTGTGAACGTAACACTGTAGTTTATAGATCTTAAGCTGCTAATTGTTGAGAGAGATTTACATTTGTCTTGTCCGATCGTCACAGATACATCTGCGACACTTTTACTGTATATAAAAAAAATTTAAATAAAGACCTCAACTATTAAGACTGTGTTGTGACTTGGGTGTTCTCAGGTGGGTGTGAAGAGGCCCTGCTGAAGTCTGTAAAATGCACTGAGCCATTTCATAACCATTTAGCATTTGAGTAAAGCCCTCTACCAGTCCCATAATTGGAAACCTGCCTGTAATCCTGTGTATACCTGACTGATCCATAGGCAGGGCAATAATCAATTGCCTCTTGTTTTTTAGTTTCTTTCCAATACGGTGGGCGGGGGTGGAGGGATGTCATCTTTCTAATCCCCTTCCTCTCTGTTTCCTTTCTTTTTGTCCAGTATCTCCATGACCCTGACATCAGGTTGTTGCTGTGTATGGGGGCTTGGCCACTTCCCTTCAGATATTACCCTGCTTACCTTAGTATGCAAGCACCTTACTGTCTTCTAATGTATGAATCCTCCCTCCTGCTCTCCTGTGTTACCGAAGGGAAACAAGGAGATGAAGTCACTTGCCCAAGATCTTTCTCATGATCTATGCCAGAGTGGAAAACAAGGGTGGGATGGGAGAGCTGGGAGTGTAGGGAGTGACTTTCCTGACCCAGATCAGTCATTTGACCCAACCAGTTCAGGAATTGCCATGTAGTCCTTGGGAAATCTGTGGGGAACCTGGTTAATGATGCTCACTCCTAGTGCAAGCAAACAAACAACCGCACTGCAAAGCTATGTCCACCCTAGGCAGTCACAGCAGAAAGGCCCTGGGTGGAATGAGCACTAAAGCCAGGCTTCTGCAAAACTCTGATTTTGAGAAAGCTCCATGGCTTGCAGGAGGCCCCTTCTAACTTGGTCTGAAAGCAGAATGCATGCGATTGTGGGAGGTGTCATTCAGGCAGAGGTGGTACCCCGCAGGAAGGAGTCAAGGCATTACCCCCAGAACCTACAACTCCTAGGATGCGGTGCTCCAGGAGGGGAGCTGTGCTCACAATCTTCCTGTTCAGCTGTTGGGAATCACTTCACCTTTCACTGGCAAAGGCCATCCATGCAGATCAGCACAAAGCACTTTGCTGTGCCAGTGCCATGGAAACATAGGTTACCAGCGGCCCAGATGAATCTTTATGGATAAGCAAGACATCCATTCTCTAGCTGGAAGCATCTCCCCAGCAGGACCTTCACGTCTTCCTTTAAAGTAAGTGGCCTTATCTGGTTCATTGCTGAAATGGGGCCTCCATGGGCAAGGTCCACAGTAACTGCAGGGGTTGAGGATACAGGATGTTTTTGTCAGCTAGACAGAGCACTGTGGTCTTTTGGCAAGAACAGCAAAGGCTTGGTTCTCTGCACCCCTGTTACTGCAAGCTATAAAAGACTATGTGATGCCCTCCCCTGTCACTGAGTCCTGGTTGCTAAAGGGTTAACTCCCAAAGGAGCTCTCGCCTCAACACCTGAATCATTGAGCACATGGACTTGGTGTTTCAATCCTTAGTGAAGAGTAGTTATTACAGGGGAATGGGGAAGATGACTGAGCAGCAGGGCAGGAAAGGTGGAAATGTCTGGCACGTTTTCAGTCCAGCCTCTGATAATCCTCAGCCTGCTCTTTGAGCAAGGTGGGTATGCTGTCCCCAGACACGCAGTCAACGTGCTTGAAGGTCTGCAGGTTTCCTGGGGGAGCTTATGGATATTCGCCTGCTCTTCACTTGCTGACGTCCTGTGGAGAGCTGAAAATCCGACACCAGCCCCTTCTGCCTGGAGAGATGCCCGGATCTCCATGTTTCCATGTTGGGAGAATGAGCAAGGCATTTTATCTCAGTGCCAGAACTTGGCAGTGAAAGCATTTCCCTTGAAAGAGACATTGGAGACCTCCTGAAGGTCTGTTCAGGTAGCTCAGAGGAGCACCTGAAGGTAGCCCCACAACAGTTGTGCGCCCCAGCTTGGCACCTAACTTTTGACTCTGGATGTATTATTATACCTTTCTGTTGTCACTTCAGTAGGATTTCTGGAGCATTACCTCACCCAGATGTTATTGCAGCCCAGATGTTAACAGGAACAAGTGTTGCACCACCATGGAAGAAACTAATGTTTCCAAGTAAAAGTGTGTGTGCCGCTGGGCCATCTTTAGTCTGTCAACTGCCAAGAGCTTCAGTGAGAAAGGAAAGGGCTGAGCCAGTGAGTGGGTGAGGCTGAGGACTGGGGAGGAGAGAGCACTTTGGGAAGAGAATGTGTGATCCGCTGGGACAGTTCTCTGCATCCTTTTCTAGGTTTGTCCCCTGGATGCCTCAGATGCTGAAGGTGTGGGGACAGCCACCTTAGCTATCCTAGATTTGAAGGTGAGAAGACTGCCAGGTGTGGGGGGGAGGGACAGCACTGGGTTGTGATCACTGAATAAATGGAGTTTGGAAAACAAGTGCTGGTAAACCAGAGACATGTCCCATCCATCCAGAACAGCCCCCCAGTGCATTAGCTTTCCTGTGACACATCAGTGAAATAACCTGCTGCCCATTTAAAAGCCATATGTCCCAATGTCTTACCTTCTACAGTTAATGATCCCTGATTCTGCTAGAATTGAAATAATTTCCAGTTTGTTTTTCACCTGCTGTCCAGGTTCACCTTCCCTTCAGCTGGGTCAGTGGCCTAACCTGGGTAGCGTCAGCCTTGTTTGTCAGCTCCTCTCTTTCTGGGTCTTTGTGCAGTAGCCCAAGCTGTTCTGCTCGAGTCTTCAATACAAGCAAAGTTTACGCTGGGAAAAAAAAGAGGTTTTTTTATCTCTGTGATCTCATTTCTTCTCCCACAACGCTCCCTGGATCCATTCCCCACTCCTCCTCCTCCTCCGTGAACAAACTTTCTCCTAGAGGTGGGTGGAAGATTGTTTTCTTGTTTCACAAGATTCTTGGAAAATGTTCCTGTCCCAAACAGAGAAGGACAGTTGTAATCCTTTGTTTTTTTATTATTATTATTTTTCCCCTCCACAAGTTGATCAGCCAAAAAAAAATCCAATTGGTTCAGTCCAAAAATGTTGTTTCAATATTTTTTTTTTTTAAAATCTTTAGGTTTTATCTTTTTAAAAGTTTGTTTTTTCAGGTGAAGTTAACTCACTGCTAAATGAAAAGTTCTTTTGCACCAACCCCTGCCCCAGAAACACTGAAACGGGACATACTCCAGTTCTTCCCAAACCACTTCCAAATGTTGTTCTTTCTTTGTGTCAAACTCCACCCATTCCCTCAAACAATTTTGGCTGTAATAAAGCTGCATTTTTTTTCTAAAGAAATAACAAGTTCAGTAGAAAATTTCCACCAAGCTCCTTCTCTCACTGCTGCGAGTTTGGGGCCCGAATTGCCAAACCAGTACCGGAGCTGGTTTGCTCCCGTATTTTTCACACGTGGGTATTTGGCGCCCCTTAGAGGCAGAATGTAGGAACTACTACAGGGTTGTTTCAGTGTCCTACACATTGTTGCTCTCTCTGCCCCTCAGCCTGGCCTCTGTAGCAAACAGCTGAAGAGTTTGTAGAGGGGGGTGTGATGTGGGGTGGGACGTGCTCTGGGCAAATGCTGCTTTTGCAGATGCGCTGGAGTCACTGCCTGGCTGTTAGACGCATCCTTGCTTCGCAGATCTGCAGTGGAGCTCGGTCCGCCCCCTCCCCATACCCTGCCTCAAGCCCTGGATCTAAGCCCCCGCCAAGCCAAAACAGCAGCCCCCTGGCAGGGGTGTTCTCAGACCCTGATTTGAAGGGCGCCGCAGGCCTACCCATTGCCTCTCCCATCAATCCTGGCCTCTGCTGACATCTAGTGGCCCATGGGCAGAGCGAGTGCTGCTTGTTCTGCTATGCAGGGATGTGACAAAGCCAGTTATTTTTAATAACCCTGGATACATTTCCCTTCAGGGCCATCTTTCTAACCGGGCCCGGTCACTAGCGTAGGCAGTGTCGTGGTGTGCGAAGCACTCGGGATCCCGGTATCTGCTAGCAACCCCAGCACCGCATCAGCTGCATCAAACCAGTCCCAGACAAGCCTCCCTCCCCACTGCATATGGGAAGTCCCCCCCTCATTTTCCTCTGTCTAAACTACATCAGGAAATGATAAGAATTGGAGAAGGAGAAAAGGGCCTATTAGGTCATCTGAGTCGAGGCTGGGACAACGAGCCATTGTTTGAATGTCCAGTCTAGTTTTAGATGACACCAGTGGCTGGGCTTCCATTACTTCCTCTCCAGTGTGTCACAGCTATTGTCCTGGCCGAGCTCTGGCCTTGGGCGGTCACTGCCATGCTGCCTCACTGGCTGCAGGTGTCTGACCAAGCAGGGAGGCACCCTGCCCACAGGGACGAGTAAACTTCGGGGAGGCTACAGCCACTGCTGGCTGGAGAGGAGGGATCCCTGATCCCTTGCACAGCAGAGCAATCGCATGTTAACCCCAGATCACAGCAGAATTATCTGGAAACTGGCTGGCAAAATACAGGGAGGTCAGACTAGAGCAAAGTGTCCATCCCAACTACCAATCCAGTTCTCTTGCCTCTTGAAAGGCACTGGCCCTGGCTTTAAAAGAGCAATGCTTTGTCTCCTCTCGGACTGTCCAGCCACAGAGCTCCAAGGTCATCCCCAGTTTCATGGAGAGAAACAGAGGCAGAAGGAGGCAAAGGGACTTGCCCAAGGTCACCGACCAGGCTAGGGACAGAGCATGGGCCTTGCCCTGCAATAATAGTACTTTTGTGAGACCCTTTGATGGGAGGATCTCCAGGTATGTTGCAGCTCTTATGCCATCCAGCTTTACGTCCCCTCCACATCAATGATCTCTCTAGGCTGAGAGACCAAAAGACACACACCTCCCTTGTGGAGATTTGGGGGGCTCTGGGGATGAACTGGACAAGGCACTTCAGGTAAAATCATCCCATACCACAGCTGGGCCCAGCATCCGCTCAGACCCTAATGCCCCCTTGCAATGAGTACTCGGGGACCTTGTGGACAGCAAAGGGGTGCTCCCAAAACAGTCAGGCTAGGCAGAGGCTTGTTGCCAAGTTAAAGCTGAGTCTGTATGGAGCAGCTGCTCGGGGTGAGGCCATAAAATGCCACAACATAAGCCCCAGGCAGAGCTGGTCAGGAATTGTCCAAAAAAACAGGTGCTGGAAAAGAACCTGTCTGCTAACAAGTGAAATGTTTCAAGGGACTTCAACTGAGATGCAGGGGCTGAGTTAGCCCTGCTGGGCTTCCTGCTCATTCCCTGGATGGGTGGCTGAGGGCGCTGCCCTCACCCTGCCGCAAGGCCGTGGACACTACACCTACCAGGTTCCCTGCCATGGAGCCAGGAAACCCCAGCTTTCAGTTCTGAGGCTCCTGGCCTAGCGGTGTCTCCCTGACTCATGCTAATCACTAGGGTGGAAGGGGAAGCTGTAGCTGAGCTTGGTTTGGTTTCAAAATTAGCAACACAAAAACCATTTTTTTTTCATTTCCATCCACAGGAAACAACCAAACTTCTCCTTTTTGTTCCAAAAACAGTTGTTCTGTGTATGTATGTATTGTGGGGGGGAAGGTGTGCATATGTATGCATGTGTGCATGGGAGGGGGGGTGTATGCACGCATGCAGAATTTGGGAAGGTCTTGTCAAATTGAAATTTTGACTGATTCGCTCTCATCAGAGCACTCGGGCCCTTGGCAAGAGCTCCCAGAGCCAGGAGCAGCTGCAGGAACTAGACATGGGGGAGGCAATGCCAGATCCTGGTCACTGATGGGGACAGGAAGCCTCCTCTTTCCACCAAGAGAGCACGGCAGTAATGGAGGCAGGATGAGACTCTGCTCAAGTGAGGTGGGCTTCTGAAGTGCCAGTCTGTGAAAGGACAAAGGTGGACACCAGCCCGGGCTTAAAGAGGGGAGAAGAAATGATATTAGTTCCCTCATCGTTGGGAAAGGTGTTCCAACCCTACCGGTTCTTCCCTTCTCTCCTCCTTCCCCCCTGTTCCTCATTCCGTTTTCCTCTCCTTGTTCTCACTCCTTCCCTTCCCCTTCTCCCTGCTTCGACTCTCAATCTGGAAGTCACAGAAGGGCAGTAAGAGAAAGTCTCCCCACGTCTAAACCCTTTCATTTCCCTCCCTCTTTCCACTGCTTCATGCCTACAGCTGGACCAGGAAGAGCCTGGATTTGAGGCAGTGGAAGTTCGGGGTCCCAGCTCCCCCATTTGGTGCAGCCCAGGTGGAGGGCAGCAGGGCAGTGAGTGTGCATGGGCTCCCACACCAGGCGCAGCGTCATCAAGGCGCAGCGTCAGGGGTGAGGGTGGACCTTGGTGATGCAGTGAAAAGGCCTCTTGGCTTCAGCAGTTATTCCCGTTGGATCCAAGCCTTGCGCATGAGCATGCTAGGCTGCTGAGCCTTCAGCCACACCCTCGCAGCACAGAGGCAGGGAAAAGCTCCATGGTTCTGGCTGTCCCAGGAGAAGACTGAGAAATCCTGTGGATTTGGGCCAATCCCACATCCTGCCGTTTCCCCGAACTGGAGCTGATGTCCCCCATCCATGTAGATGTGAGGGACATGGGTCTGCCTCCCCATCCCCAACCCAGTGGTCCCTACTTGCTGAGCCCCCAGCCTTGCCAAGCTAACCCCCTACCATCCACCACTGCCAGCGGTCCCAGCAGAGCGGTTTGTGCCGTGCTGTTGAATGCCTCTGCAGAGACCGGGGGCTGTCCCTGCGAACTGCTATCAGCCTGGGCCCTCTTGCCAAGCCAGCTGTCTCAGGCAGACCACACAGGGGCTGGCATGCTCCAAAGACAGCCCACACACAGGACAGCGGCGGGAAGGGAGCTTGAGCCAAACCCAAGACTCCAGCACCCCAGGTCCAGCTGTGGCGCCAGACCCTGCTGCTGCGCTGACCTGCATCTGGAGCCAGGCTTGCAGCAGAGGTTGGGCCGTACGGAAGCCTTTGTCCCCCTCCAGTGGCTGGCATGTCACAGACTTGAACTTCCTGCTTCTACCTATCGGGCTCAATCTTTCAGCTCAGCAGCAGGGGCATATGCAATTAGCTCTGTACTGAGATAAGACGGCTTGATTCAGGTGAGGCAAGGTACAAACTCCCCCAGACCTTGCCTTCCTGCATCTAACACCTGCGGACATGTAGGAAGCTGAGCTTTCCCTGCAAAGCTTGCAGGAGGCCCTGAGGCCTCTGTTTGATGCTAAGTTTCCATCAGGCCCACATGGCCCGTGGAGGCTGTTTATCTCAGAGGAAACAACCAGGCAGTGCTTGGCGAAGGGGGAACTTGCTCTTCCCTGGCTGGACAGCCGGAGTGGCTGATAAGGTAAGAAGGGTAAGAAGAATGGCAAGCAGGCAGCTTTCTGGGCCTGAAGAGATAGAGGGCAGCACAGGAACCACTTGTTTTCCACATCAGCGGAGAGTGAGTAGCAATCGCTGCAGAGATGTAATTGAAGGAAGGAAAAAGATTAAGCTGGCCCCACGCCCTTGGGTAAAGCACTGGGCAGAAGCCTGGCTCCCTGTTTCCTTCTCAGCCTTTAACCTAGGAAATGGGTTGACAGGCCCTGCCCTGGGGTGCCAGCACAGAGGCACTGAGCTCCCTGCTAAGGACAAGGCAGGAGGTGTGGGAGCGTTCAGAAAGGACAAAACTCAGGCATACTTTTAGCAGCCGGCAGCCATGCGGGACTAGTAGCCCTGCCTGGAATGAGGTGGATTCTTTCCTTTGCCAACACTTTTCTCAGCCCTTTTCTTAGCAATCTCAGAATGATCTGCTCTCAGCACCCTTAATGACACCT